GTGAGCCTCCTACTGTGGCCCAAACTCTCAGCCCACCTCCCACCATGCTGATGGCCATGCCTGTATCATTCTTGCTGGACTGTGTCAATATGTGTTTCTGCTCACTGACGTGATGGGTGCGTCCAGAAAGGAGAGGCTCCATGTGAGATCTGCAGTGCAGGAGTAAACACCTGGGTAGGGGCCACATTCCCAGGACAGTCCCACCAGCACCAGAAAGGAGAGGCTCCATGTGAGATCTGCAGTGCAGGAGTAAACACCTGGGTAGGGGCTGCATTCCCAGGACAGTCCCACCAGCACCAGGGCACAAACAGATGCTCAACATCTTTCCAAACAGAAGAGAATTCTGTCCTCCCACAGGCACCAAGAGGAGGACACCACTATGTCCTCTGTGAAGTTCTGCATCTGATCTCCCTGAGCAGCGAGATCTCTTCCAAGGACAGCCTGGCATGGCTGCTGCAGATTCATCTTCTTTCAGTTGCAAGAGCCACATCGGACTTGCAGTGAGCGCTGGACAGCTGGGCCATAGGATCAGCCCAGGACAGACCTTCCCCCCACTGTCCACGTTCTTCTGAGCAGGGAGGAGGACACGCTCTCTGTCTTCACATTTCTTTTTTCATCATCATAGCAGCAAAAAGCAGCTGACTGACCATTAAAGCCAAGCGTCTGGAGCCAGGTTTCCTCTGCGAGAAACACCCCAAGCACACCCACAGCGACTCCTTTGAGGAGAGGATTTCTCACTCTCCAGACCACAGGACAGGACCTGAAGGATGCTCCAAGTGACAAGGACTTTCCCTACATGTAGTCTTTGGAAACTTATAATCCACTTCATTAAATAAAGCAAACTCTTCTCTTCTGAATAACAATCTACATAGGAGACAGGTCAGAGCTAGAAGATCATCCTTGTCTCTCAAACTGCCCTTTCAGAGCTGCAGTCCACACTCAGAAAGGCCTTGCCCAACCTGCCAGCCCCTCTGCGCTGACCCTTGCCAGCTGCTCTGGGCCTGCCCTCCCTGTTCTCCCTGGGTCCCTTTGTCTCCCACCTTGCGGCACCTTGCTAGTCCTTAGCACTTGTCCCAGTGTTCAGAATGCCCGGTGGGTGTGGTGTCCAGGCCAGCGCAGCCAGTCGGGGCTTCCCAGGAAGAGGAGGATGGGAGTACTCTGCTCTCAGCTTCTACCACCCATCCACTCTGGCCCTCAGGTCAGTCAAGCTCTGTGGGGTCCTCACTGTGACACCCTACCTGGAGCTGCAGGAGGATGGGGACAATGCAGCGTAGGAGAACTGCAGCTTGGGCAAACCTCCACAAGTGCCGTCAGAGAGCGCAGGCAGCTTGCCCTGACAGCTTTGTTCCTGCACAGCCTGTTGCTAGGGGAGGCGCCGGACCCAGTGTCGGGCCAACCTGCCTACCCACTGCCCTAGTCTGAGTTTTCTGCTGTGTCATGAAGGTCAGGCTAAGGGAACTTGAGGATCCCTCTTACCCAAAAAACTCTCTGAATCTCTAACTACACATCTCAGAGTAGAGTGCTAATCCTTTCGGAGTCTTGATTTTATTATTTTTTTAACAGGTATCTCACTCACCTATAAACTAACACAAATTTTCTTAGCAAGTAAGCTTTTTACAGCATTTCAAAAGCATCCTCCTTAACATCCAATAAAAAAAATGCACCTTTCTTTTCCAATCCATGCTCAACAATCTTCCTCATTTTAACTCCAGTCTCTTAATCCACATGGAGGTAGGATGAGTTTGAGCAAGTTTCGGATCCCACAGCGGCTGGGAGCTGGGACAGGCTGCCTCCCCAGCAGCCACCACAGTCTGGCCAATGAGCCCCATGCCCCACCCCACAGACGCCAAATGGCCAGAAACACAGCCCTCCAGGCCCCAGAAAGGAGCCAGGTGTGGGGGATGCACCCAGACTGTGCGAGACAATTTCTGGTGACCCACAAGATCATAGAGTGAGGTCTCTGAAGAACAGGAGGGCAGCAAAAGCAAACACTGTTTTCTAAAAGACAATAACATTTTCTTTGAAAGAAAAAATGCAAAAATTGATTAGCAATTTACTATCTAGGAATAAACTACAAAGGAAGAGTAAAACAGGATTTCCTGTCCTGCCCCATTGGACTAGACAACTTGCCCACAGAGGTTAGAAGTAGCCTCCAGTCACTTCTACTGCTCATAGGAAGTAATGCTCACATAATGCCACTTGCTCTCAATATTCACTAATACCTGTGCTCATACCCAGAATTCCCAGAAAAGAACTGCCCGGGATAAGGAAGAGATTCTGCATAATGAAGCCAGCTGTGTTCCTCACTAAGCACAAATGCCACACGGTGTTCAACAGGGACTAATGTGGTATTGACTCTGTGCCTATTCATTAAGTTTTGTATTATTTTGTATAAAATTAGCAAAATGAATGCCCTTTAAATTCTGTTGCCAGGGTCAAGTCTTCTTGCATCACTAACAAGAGATGTCAACAGCATCGTGCCAGTAAGCCCTGGGTGTGCAGGCAGCAGGTGCTGCTCTGGTACCCGGCAGACAGCTCTGTCAGCTCCTTGTGCTGGCCATGGGACCTGGCCACACACCATGGGCCCTGGCCACACACCATGGGCCCTGGCCACACACCACAGCCTTTCTGAAACTGTCTCCCCTGACAGTAACATCAGGTCATTTACAGTGATACTTTTAAGGCTCCACATCATCTTGTGGAACTAGAAACCACAGGAAATTCCTTTTGAGTTCCCAGTTCTTCCTTGTCAACCTATCAGCCCGTCCCTTCTCATCTGGGTATCACGCTCGGTGAAAGGTTATCTCATCCTGGTACCAAACACTCTCTCAGGTAGACCTGGACATTTCTACCACTTGACTATATGATTCTTATGGTGACTAACTTATTTTTTATCAACCTTTTCCTACATAGTACCAGGTACATTCATAACACCATAGAAATATCCAAAATATAAAAGGAACTAATTTTTTAAAGAAATTATGCAGGTATGTTAGCCAGTTTGCACACATACAACAAGCAAGAAAGCTTCTGGCTTGCATAGACACAATAATTAATGTAATTGCAGTTCTGCTAGTTTGTAAATTCTAGTATTTAGAAAGTTGTTGATGTGAAACTCAAACATACATTTCATATGTAATGTGTCCCTTGACCAATGTCACTTTGGTATATAACAGGAACCTACTTAAAATGACCAAGAAGGACCAGATTTCAAATAATCAATCTTGTTTTCTTCTAGAAAGCAATGTGATCAATGGAAGGCCCTTGGCTGTGAGCATACTGCGCTGTGTTTTTGTTAAAAGACCACATTACAAGGCTATGTTGACCAGTTTGATGAAAGCATTTCAAATTGTATATAAAACCAGCACATTATACCCCATGATTGCATTAATGTACACAGCTATGATTTAGTAAAAAAAATTTATTTTCAAAAGAAAAAAAAAAAACACATTGCACTCAGTGTTATCCCAGTCAGAGCACCCTTAAGTTCCAGCACATCTAACATCAAAAGCATTTCTGCATAAAAGTCTGATAACTGATTTGGTATTAAATACGTTCAATAATCACAAGTCAATCAGACACTGTTGAGGGAAGGAGAGAGGCAATAGCCCAGGAAGGGTTGAAGGCTTTAATACTAAAACACCTCTCCTTCCCAGGCAGGAAGCATTAGGGTGCAATCTGCTGGCATCCTCTAATGCTGGGGCCACGTGAAACTGCTCAGCTACAGTAACAACACTGGGCTACCCTGTCAGGCTGTACCCCAAGCACCAAATACCCTGAAACGAAATGACTTGACTCTGTTAGATTCCAGGGGTTGAGTACAACTTTGCATAGAATTCCACTTTAGCTAAGCCTTCTTTGACATCTCCCCCAAATCCCTATCTTCGGCAAATAACAGTTACTAGAGACACAAAGATATCTTGTAAGTAAAACCAACAGCAACCAGAAGAGGAAAGACCGATAATTTAGTGCACCACAGTAGATGTGGCAGCTGCCTTGTTACCACCGCTGGACAAAGGCACTCTAAGTCAACAGGGCACCAGTACAGTGAAGCCTCAATCAATGAGGACCAGGTATCCAAATCTCTAAATCAACCAGAATATTTAGCTGCATTTTACATCAAAAAAATAGACATTCAGTAAAAAAGTGAACATATTTAGCATTATACAGGATTGCCTAAAACAGTCATTTTCTGGGGTCAGCACATTCAGCCGCGTCTACCATAAGTAATCATAAAACAGGATAGAGAGCTCTGCCTGCTGAGTCATTCTAAAGCCCTGAGCGCCACCAAGCTAAGGGTCTCTTGTCTCTCACAAAATGCATTATTCAATCTTCCTGCCTAGTAAGAAAAATTCACAATACACTTTATAAGAGTTTTCAATAAGCTAAAAAAAAAAAAAAAAACCTACAAGATTTAGAAAAATGCAAAATATGTGTCTACCACCCCATTTTGTTCAAGTCTCTAATTAGCCAGAGTTTGTGTTTTCACTCAAGGACAATCACTGATCATATAAGAAAGATCGTTCCAGCTCTACCAGTAAATAACATGTGTACAAATGCCTGGAAACTTGGTATCTCAGTAGCAAAATGTGCTAGATTAGTATTTAAGCCTTCCAGGCTCCGTGCCACATCTCTGCAATGGGCAGCCAGGAGAAGGGCCAGTCTTTGCTCATGGTCTCACACAAAACCAAACCCTCAAGGCAAGATTGTACCTGCTCTGCTCACTCTGGGATTACCAGACACCAACTCCTTGCTTTTACAAAAGCCAAATAGCTCATCGTCTCCTGTCTTCCATCTGACGCCAGGTCCATGAGCACAGTAATCCAGGCCCTCTCCAAACAACAGGGTCCGGGGCTCTCACTGACCGTGAGGACACCCTCAGAGTCCCCTCTTCACCTCTTTCATTAAACATCTGCTCCCAAGAACCTGTGGCCTCTCCTCTGGGCAGCCCCAGACCGCAATGTCTGCCCTGTGAGGGGTGTGTGTGGAAAAAGCCTTACCTGTGGCCTTCGCGACATCTGCAGTTGTCATGTTTTGGACATTGGTGCTCACCTTGAAGGTCACCGCTGGTCCCAAAACACTGGAAAAGATTATTTAAAATGAGCTTGTAACTGAGTCAACATACCAGGTGCTTCACTGAAACTACATGGGAAATATTAGTATGCTCATGAAAACACATGCACAAAAGGCCCCTTTGCTGCGGGCGTGGCCTCTGCCTGGGGGCTGGTTTCTTTGACACTGTGACCCTTCGTTCACGTTTCCAGTCGCTGTGGACAGGCTTTGCTTTTCTGAAACACACACTACAGCACAATATACCCTTCTTACAAGAACGTTCAAATCATCCTGAATACTCAACAATAGCAAGCAGGTACTCTCACAAGGGAGAAAGAAAAATTGTTATGGAAACAGGTTTTAGTATTTGGTTCCTGGGGAGCAGCGTGAAATGAGGAGCAGAGAAGAAAGAGACTGGTATTGTTTAAATTCTCTTGACAGGAACCATCTAAAAACTCACCAAAGTCATTAAGAACTATTCTGTGTGAAGATGACTAGCAGGGAATTGCTACACAGGAACTATCAAAACTATTTGAAGCTTTTAAAATACTATGTCACACACAATTTTGAAAAATACTCAAATCACTTTTTAACTATTGAATTCATCTGAAGACCCCACGTGCTGTGGAACTGGATATTGTACCTACAGAGATCTCAAAGTGGGTCAGGAGCTGAGGGTACATTTCTAGAGACAGACAGACCCCTCTCCACAGACAGCCACTAAGAGTTCTCCAAGGCACAGACCTGCACAAGCATCTTCTAAGGGCTGAACCCGGAGAACAGAGTCCCCGAGAATCCCTTAGTGCAATGTAGGGTCCCAGGTGAACAGACAAGGATCGGGGAAAGGACCGCCTTTGGGTAGGAGAGGGTGGTGGATTCCAGGAAGGGCCTGAGCTCCCTTCTGAGCTATTACACCCCTCTCTGGCAGGCAGCATATAACCAGGGCTCTCAAGGTCCCTACCCTATCCCTCTTGTCAAGTGTAGCAACAGAGCTGATACAGAAGAAATCACCATCTCTGTACCGAATTCCCCTCCACAGGGAGGGAAATGACCATGCCTTGGGCTTGTGGATTTCAGATCTGAGTTTCCTTCCCTTAACCCTCAACGTGCTTCTGGATTCAAGTATCACCTCTGCTTGTGGTACCTTGGGGCTGGCCTTGGGAACTTCACTCCTTTCCCTGGCCGGCTAGCCCAGTGTGCAAGCCCTGGAAAGTACAAGTGTCTTACTGTCTCCAGGAGGCACAGCCACCACCCAACACTGCTGCAGCATCCACACAGGGCCTCCACATCATCAGAGCTGAGCAGCTCCTGCTCTGAGGAGAAACCAGGTTCTTATCTTGTGGACATTTCCTTTGGTGTCCTCACACAGAAATACCCAGGCAGTCATCATGCTCACCAGGCTTTCTTGCTCCCATGACGAGCCTTCTAGTCCTTCTAGCCCATACCTGCACCACTGTACAGCAGAGCTGGCCAATTTCCTACATCTGACTTGAGCATGTGGAATCTGGGGGATTTCCTTGGGATGCTGCCCCCATGACCAACCACAGATGCAGGGTCTGCATCTGCTCGTTCCAGCCAAGTGTGAAATCCTCCCATGATTCCAGGTCCAGAGCTGCAGAGAGTCCACTGAGTCCTTCCTGTTTCCAGTCTCGGGTGCTCCGGTGGAAAGACATCAGTCCCTCCCGGGGCCACAGGGGCCAGCAACGGTCTTTCAGCCCTTGTGCCTCTATTTGAGTCAATATTTTTCCATTTTTTTTATTAAATTGTAACTATGTATATTAATGCATTTATAGGGTACAATGTACTGATTTGATATACAGTGTGGAAAGCTTACATCAAACTTGTTAACATAACCATCACCTCACTTACTTATTTGTTGTGGTAAGACATTTATACTCTACTCTTAATAGGTTTAAAATGTACCATTGCATTATGCACATTAGATGAGGTCCCACCAAATACTCTGCCTCCTCTCAGCCTCTCCCTTCCCTCCCCTCTCCCTCCTCTTCACTCAGTCAACTTCCCTGCCCACAGTGCTGCCCTCCTCACTCTCGAGTTCCAGGTTCCTCCTATCTCTCTGAGCCACTTCAGGAGTGCCCCAGCAGTGCCAGAGCCACCTTTTCTCTGGGATTGCTGAGAGCCAGCAAATGCATGATGCGTGACACCTCCAAGCCATGCTGTATCTTACACACTGTTCCTGCTTCCCAAGCATGTGCTAGGCTCCTTGAGGGCACAGGTGACATTTCCTGCCAGGGCCTTGCCCACAAGGCAGATAACCAATTTATATTTGTAATAGATGACATTTGAGTTCAACAATTCTCTGAAACTAGGAGAACATTCTCATTCACTCAATAACTCACGCATGCAAAACCATAGCAATAAACAGATCTCAGTGGTAGAACTTTGGGTTTATGGTGGCGTTTCCAGGAAATTTTGAATCTAAATTACATCTAAAGAGTTTCCCTGTTGCTTTAATTGCCAGGTGGTCCTCCTCATAAAATATTCTCCCAGGTCAATTTTTTTTTTTTTAATTTGTTGTTCTCTTTGTTGCCCTCGGTAGAGTGCCATGGTGTCACAGCTCACAGCAACCTCCAGCTCTTGGGCTTAGGCAATTCTTTTGCCTCAGCCTCCCCAGTAGCTGGGACTACAGGTGCCTGCCACAATGCCTGGCTACTTTTATTTTTGTTGCAGTTTGGTAGGGGCAGTTTAAACCTGCCACCCTTGGCATATGGGGCCAGCGTCCTACTCACTGAGCCACAGGCGCCACTCATCTCCTAGGTCAATTTCTTCAAGTGTTTTCCCTACACTCTCTCCAAGTATCTTTATAATTTCATGTATTAAGTTTAAATCTTTTGTCCAGTGAGAATCAATTTTTGTTAATGGTGAAAGGTGGGGTGTCCAGTTTCACTCTTCTACAAGTCTCCAGCCAATTCACCAAGTACCATATGTTAAATAGGATATCTTTGCCCCAATTTATGTTTTTGATAGCCTTATCAAAGATCAAATGATGATTAAGTGGCTGGGTTAATCTCTTGGTTCTCTATTCTGTTCCATACATCTACCTCTCTATTTTTGTGCCAGTACCATGCTTTTTTGATCACTATAGATTTACAATATAGCCTGAAGTCTGATAGCGTGATTCCTCCTGATATATATATATTTTTATTTCTGAGTAATGTCTTGGTTATACAAGGTTTTTTCTGATTCCATATGAAATAAAATACTATTTTTTCCCAGATCTTTAAATTATGACAGTGGTGCTTTAATAGGGATTGCATTAAATTTGTATATTGCTTTGGGTAGTATGGACTTTTTTTTTTTTTTTTGCAGTTTTTGGCTGGGGCTGGGTTTGAACCTGCCACCTCCGACATATGGGGCTGGTGCCCTACTCCTTTGAGCCATAGGCACTGCCTGATATTATGGACATTTTAACAATGTTGATTCTTCCTAGCCATGAGCATGGTATGTTTTTGCATTTGTTAACATCTTCAGCTATTTCTTTTCACAGAGTTTCATAGTTCTCTTATAGAGATCTTTCACATCCTTTGTAAGGTAAATTCCCAAATATTTCATCTTTTTTGGCACTACCATATTTCTCCGAAAATAAGACACTGTCTTACACTTATTTTTTCTCAAGAAGACACACTAGGACTTATTTTCAAGGGATGTCTTATTTTTATTTAGTATAATACAACAATCTACATTTATTCAAATACAGTTAAGTCAACTTCTTCCGGAACCTGATAGGGGGAGCTGACCTTATTGGTGGGGCTAGCGTTAGTGATGTGTGAACTCCTTTCCCCTAGCCGTTCACACATGTGCAATAGGATGCCTGCGACCACAGTTACCACATGCGTACCCATGCAAGTGCAAATGGCTCAGAGAAAGGAGCTGTGGCAGATAAAAGGCATTCCAGTCTTCCTTATTGCTCTGCACTGAAATGCATGGCATGGCTATGCACATACACTGCATAGCCATGCCCATCACTAGGTCTTATTATCAGGGTAGGGTTTATATTTCACAAATGCATAGAAATCCTGCTAGGGCTTATTTTTTGGGTAGGTCTTTTGGGGGGGGAACACGGTACTATAAAAGGAATAGAGTCCTTGACTATTTTTTCAGCTTGACTATTGTTGGCAATATATAAAAACTACTGATTTGTAAGTATTGATTTTCTATCCTGAGACAGCTGCTATATTCCTTGATCACTTCTAAGAGTTTTTTAATTGAGTTCCTGGGGTTTTCCAGATACAGGATTATATCCTCTGCAAAGAGCGAGACTTTGATCTCCTCTGACCCTATTTGGATACACTTGATTGCCTTCTCTTGCCTTATTGTGATGGCTAAGACTTCCATTATGATGTTAAAAAGCAGTGGAGACAATGGGCAACCTTGCCTGGTTCCTGGTCTGAGTGGAAATGTTTTCAACTTTACTCCATTCAATATGATATTCGCTGTGGGTTTGCTGTAGATGGCCTCTATCAGTTTAAGAAAAGTCCCTTCTATACAAATTTTCTTAAGTGTTCTGATCATGAAAGGATGCTGGATATTATCAAAAGCTTTTTTGCATCAATTGAGAGAATCATATGGTCTTTGTTTTTTATTTTGTTTATGTGATGTATTATATTTATAGATTTACATATGTTGAACCAACCTTGTAGCCCTGGGATAAAACCAACTTGGTCATGGTGTATAATTAATTCTTTTGATGTGCTATTGAACTCTGTTTGCTAGGATCTTATTGAAAATTTTTGCATCAGTATTTATTAATGATATTGGTCTATAATTTTCTCTCTTTGTTGGATCTTTTCCTGGTTTGGGGATCAGAGTGCTATTTCCTTCATAGAATATGTTGGGAAGTAGTCCTTCTTTTTCTATATTGTGGAAAGGGTTATGTAATAAAGGTACTCCTTCCTCTTTAAAGGTTTGGTAGAATTCTGATGTGAAGCCATCTGGTCCCAGACTTTTCTTTTTGGGGAGATTTCACAGATTTGATGCTATTTCAGTGCTTGATATAGGTCTATTTAA